GAGCAGTATAGAGAGGGCTGACACACACAAACAAATGATGATGCGCAGCTGGATAGCAATGTTCGCAACTCGAGGATTCTGGCACTGATGATAAAGGCCACTTTGGCTGCTACTTGTGGTCGGTGGCTGTCGTTGGTGGTTGGTCTAGGGTGGGTAGCTATGAAGGCTGGCTTCACCTCTTTAGGTTTTTTTCTTTCTATTTCAGCAATGAACATCAAATAGGGGTTCTAAAAGAGTTTAGGGTCTTTTTTAATCGAGTGCTTTGTACCATACACTTTACCCTATGTTCCATACAAATACATTTCCTAACAGATCTGACTCTTTCCGATCTTCATCTTAATTGGGGGACAAACATCAACAGTCTCCACTGGGATGCATTTAAATTTATTTCATGCACAATTTATATCTCGTCCTTTCTGTTTGAAAGGTTGAGGAGGATGCTTTACTCTCTTCCTTTGTATTTTTTGTTTCTGTAAAATGAAGCTTCTTGTCTTATTTAAAAAAAAGATGGGAAAGCCATGAATTTTAAATATCAATTTTCAACTTTTTTGCGTCCATGGACATTTTAAAGACTATTATTTTTTCTTTTAAAAATGATATATTCAAAGTTGTTAAGATATAGATTTGCTGGATATATCACATTTTTCTCTTAAAAGATATGATACAATAAAAGTTGTTAAGAAATAGATTAGCTGGATAGATAACTGTATCTTCTGTTTGAACCATGCTCAACTTCTGAGTCTTGAAGGATAAAAAATTATTTTAATTTGTTTTGTGCGCCACAGTTGTCTTTTTCTTAGTTTTCTCTTTACCACATATTTATATCTTGCACTGCTCTAAAAGAATTCCAAAACGAGTTCTAAATATCAATCTAAGCCAACTCCTGCTTCTGAAGTTTGTTGTGACAGATGAAGGCTTGCTTTTGGAGCATGCAGTCATGGAGTTGCAGAAAGTTATTTCTGCTGAAGAAGATGATGCGAAGGAATGCCTTTATATAAATAGCCTAGTATGTACACAGCATTATAATGGCAGGGAAATAAATGTAAGTCTCGTGGAGGCCATTTTGCTATCAATCAGGAATTGGTGTGATAGCAACCTTCAAGACTACCACCTGCATTTTTGTCGGGTCAGTTACTGTTCTTCCACATTATATTATTAAGCTCTATTTTTCAAAATTTTGTGATAATCTTGTGGTTTAGATAGTTGATTGAAGTCTCTAGTTCTTCCTCTACATCTTAATTTATATATTATAATTTTATCTCTTTCTTCCTAGATGGTTTACTTGGAATTTCTTATTGCCTATGTAAAATTGGTTCCTTGAAATTTTTCAAAATAACATGGTCAAACTTTCGATTTCGTAGTTTCTTATATTCTCTTAGAAGTTTTGTCATATTGTTTTTGACAAAAAATTCTAAATAGATTCTTATATATATGCTATGTGTGTGCATGTATTGTTGATAGAAATTTAGACATATTTTTGTGCAGAAGGTATTCCCTCTTGAGAGATTTCCACATGTATCTGATTTACTGTCATTTCCTTTCTGTTTCAGGAGCCTCGTAACTTTAGTAGGGTGATGAGCTTGGTATCTACCATTGGAATCCACATTGTTGATGACTCTGAGATTAAGGTTTGACATTTTGTAGTTTAAGATTTTTTTTCTATTTCTAGAAGGGATTCGCTTGGTACCAATTTGAACATGATTGTCTGGGTTGTTGGAGTGCATTATGAGCTCTTGTATTCATGGGGCAGGGGTTTAAAAGGTGGCAAAACCCCTTTGGAAAAGGGCAACC